CAGGGGACAGACAATAGGCCGGCCCTTTGAAGTTTGCCGCGTTTCCTAACCAGTCCCCTCTACTAACTATGATCCACTTAACTCGACAATCTCCGAGTTAAAAAAATCAATTAAAGAGGCGATGAGTTTTCTCGAATTTGTGAATGAGAAGTATGACGAATTGCTAGAGGTGATGAAGAGCTCAAAGGAGGAAAGAAAGGCTTTGAAAGATGACAATAAGATTTTGCACGATGAGAATAAGATTTTGAAGGCAACAATTCGCAGCATTGAAAGTTCACTGGAATCAATTACGAGAGCGAACAAAGATCATTATGATCTGGAGCAGTACACTTGTAGAGAGTGTGTAGAAATCCAAGGAATCGCTGTCGCTGCTACTCCATCAGAAGAGCAAACTAATAATGCTGTGACGGATGTCGATAAGCTACTGGGAATGGATATTACTCAAAATGACATTTCAGTAATCCATCGAATGCCTCAAAGTCGAAAACGCAAAGGCAAGCCTGGACCGCCAGCCATTATTGTCAAATTTACAAGGCGTGATGTCAAAGATAATTTCTACCATGCAAGGAAGCAGCTCAAGGACTTAACAACGCGAGATCTTGGCTATTCCGAGAAAAACAAGATCTATATTGCAGAGAGCCTGACAGAAAGGAATCGAATGTTATTCAAAGATTGTTTGAAGGTAAAGAAGGATATGGAGTTCAAGTTCATTTGGACTTTAAATGGAAAAATCTTCATGGAAAAATCTTCATGAGAAAAGACAGACTCTGCTGTTCACCATATTAATAAAAAAGAGGATCTTCAGAAGATACAACCTAGATAAGTATTTATTTTCTGAACTTTAACGATTTGATGAATTGTTTAAAATGTGTAACTCACACTAGTGATATGGCCTGTGATTTGGCCAATTCACTTTCATCTTTAAGTATCGATTCTCCTAGTAACATTCCACACCTCACTGATTTAGATGCTGACCTAAACATGCCTTAATGGAAAACAATTTTTGTTTCTATAGTACTCATGATTTTCATAGTAATTATGACATCAATGAGTGTCTATTGAGTGGTCAATCTTTTTCTTTGATTAATTGTATTATCAGAAGCCTATCAGCTAATCATGATAAATTGTCAAACATGTTATCAGAGCCATATTTTCCTCTCTCATTTATTGGTCTTACTGAAATCAAACAGAAAATTGATCAGCCTCCTATATCTAACACTGACATATGTGGATATCAGTATCTCTCCCAGCAAAGCCTTTCCAATGCTGGGGGAGTTGCTTTCTACATAAAAAATAACTTAAATTTTAACATAAGACCTGAATTTACAATCACTGCTGATGATTTTGAAGCCTTATGGATTGAGTACGTAAAAATTGTCATTCAAACTTACTCTGTGAAATAATTTATAGGTATCTAAATGGCTAAAGGCCTACATATCAAAAGCTTTGGAGATAGTTTTTAATGCTTCTTTTTTAACTGGAGTTGTTCCCAGTGATTTTAAAATAGCAGACGTTGTACCTGTGTTCAAAAAAGGATCACAGTCATCCTTGTGCAATTACCGTCCCATCTCCCTTATCTCTGTCTTAT